CCAAATCAAGCTTGGACAGGAGCTCCCCACCTGCAAGTAAGGATCATGGGCCACACGGTGCTTTGGTCTCAATTTGGTAAGGGTGTCAAAGCGACACGCAACCTATTTGTGATGAAACAAAATAGCTACATTTGTTTCCAAGACGGTGCAGCTGAAGCAGGACCTGTACAGCGACCGCTCTTGTGGAGGGATGCTGGCGTCAAGATTTGTAATCCCAGACTTTCTGAAGCAGCTCCTCTGGACCAAAAGAACTAAATGGAAATAAGTAACTTATACACAAACTGCAGAATTACTGAGACGCCATAGACGAGCTTTTCCAGTAGGACAATTTACCTAGGAGCCTTTGAGCTTTAAGCTTTGCATCGCTGACATGTTTCCGTTCTTCGGAGTTTAAACAAGGAGTATTTGAGCTAAGCACAAGGCTCTTCACACACAGCCCAACATGTTCCGCACTCGTTCCTCACATCGGAGGCCTTACAAATTCTATCTGGCCAGTTCGGGACTTCAAGGACGCCCCCTTCCGATCTCCAGACAGAGGCAGCTACTGAAAAAAATGAGGAAGGCCAGCTGCAAGTGGAGTTACAATGGTGTCTGCCTGGGGAAGGCGGCAGAAATTCCCTCCAGATGCCCAGCTAGAATAGGAAAACCCCTCAGCTACTTAAGGCAGATGAAGGCAGTGAGGCAAGAGGGCCTTTAACCTCTCCAACGTGGACCCAGATCATGGCAGCCCTTTGCTGGTCTTGCTCTGACTTCCCCACAGTGGCTGAAAGGAGACTGAGCCAGGGCTGAGCCACAGTTTCGCTGCTCCCGGCTCCATTCCTCCCTCCCGTCTGCCAAAGGAGCTTCAAGCAGAGGCAGAGACTGGCCAGTCTCCCTCCCTGTAGATCATTTCGCAGCACAGACACTCCGCTTACCCCTCCAGGACCACCCCAGCAAGGGGGAGGGAGCACCCAATGGCAAAGACTTTGCTGTTCCCCCCAATACTTGCTCTTGTTACCTTCTGAACCGAACCAACTTGCCCCTTGTCCTAATGAAACTTTTACTGAAATTCACCCCGAGACGAAGCTTTGATTAAACACCTAAAAAAGAGCTGCAGGACTGCCAAAAGCTTGGCCCTCAAAATCAGTTCTTCTCCAACAAAGAACCACAAGCCAGTGTCACTCATGGAAGCCAAGAACAGTCTAGTGGCCACACTGGGCTCGCTGGGAATTTCTCACTATTGTTCTAAGGAACAGCACTGCCTGGATGTTAAAAGAAGGCGGCAAGTCATGGGGGAGCCGAAGTGCCCCAGCCGAAGAAGAAACGGATGCCTGGATGATGCCAGCATGTGGGGAGGTCGGGTTGGGCCAACAAGCTTGAAAAACACTGACAGGCCAAGCCACCCCTTGCACCACAAGAGACCCTGCAACCTCTCCCAGCGAAGCCCTGGGGTTTAAACCTCATCAAGAACCAGTGCAGAAGCCAGATCTTCCCCAGAGACCCATCAAAAGAAGAGGCAGGCAGGCTGACTCCCAAAGGCGCTCCATGCTGCTCCATCCGCAGGAGCCTTGCCACCTCCCACCAATGGGCTTCCCTGCCAGTTCAGACAGAAGAGGAGAGGGAGCCGGAGGAAGGAAGCTGATGCTTTGGGGCGGCAGCATCTGGTTCAGCCTTGCCAAGGGTGGAGGCAGCCGGGAGTCCAGTTCAGTCCAGATTTTCCCCTTATCCACCTCCGACTACACATCAAAGCAGGAGTATTTTTGTACAGCCCAGCAAGGAGCGCAATGGGCCAGCTGCTTGCAAAGCCCAGGGAGGAGTTAACCCTTTGGACGCAGGCATCTTCCAACCCTGCCAACACTAGCTAGGGAGAAGCAAAAGCGGAAGGCGGCTGGGGAGCCTCCAAAGAGCCACCCTTGGTGTGGCTGAAAAGCCAAGCTGACTGCCCACGCTCTCACCAGGCTCAGACACTTGAGGTGGTGACTAAGGCAAGAGACTCGGTTCCTGCAGAAACCCTCTAAATAGCCAGGCTGCCCCCATTCTGTGGGTCCTGTGCCCAGGTCCTTTGGCTGTGCCTCGTGCTGCCCACCTCACCATCAGATGGGTGGGTGGCGAAGATTCTGGGGCGCCCAGAGCAAGCCAGGAGAGCTCTGTGTGTCAGGCTAATCTTGAAGCTGTGGGGGCCCTTCCAGTCCAAAGCCAAAGTAGGGCCCTTGCACCGTGGAAAGCCAGAGAGAACACAAGCAAGAGGCCGGGCAGGATTCCTTGACAAGGGGAGGCCACATCTTCTCTTGCTAGAAGACCGAGTGGCACTGGAGATCCAGAGGAAGCCCAAGGATCATATACTACGGTCTCATCAGGCCCCACATATGCAGCTCTCTCCCCTCTCCTGGCAACACGCCAAGAACCAGGCTGACAGCAGAAGATCGCCCAGGAATCAGCTCATCAGTAAGAAGAAGGTGCCTTCCTGGGTAACAGAAGCGGGCGGTGCAGGGAGCAAAACTAATGGGAAAAGCTTGCACCAGAAGAACCTCTCTCAACAGGCTCTTCCTTGGCTTACGCAAGTAGAGAGCTGAGAGGGCTCATTTCCCACCAACTATCTCTGCACTCAAGACATTCCTTGTCCTGCCTTCGGGGGCCATGGAGAACAGGGACCGTCTCCGTCAGTGTAGCATCCCTTTGGCCTTTTGAAGCGCACTGCAGTCTTCCCCTCCGTCTTCCAAGGCTAAGCACGGCCAGCTCCTGCAGTCTCCCTTCACAGGACTGATTCTAATCTCCTACCCTTCTTCTCTGCCTTTCCCTGAACTGGGGGCAGTTTGTCCAATTCTTTTTATAGCATGACATGCAAAACTTAGTCTGATCTAATCAAAGCAGAAATTATTGTTATTGTTAGTAAAATGATTTACTCCCACCTCAATTTAGGGGAAATCTAACTGATTTTAGAGACATTAAAAGTAATAAGCAATATTAGATTGCAAGAATAATAAACAAAATCTATCACTTTTGTATTTTAACTTTTGTATTATGTGTTTCTTTGAATGTTGTACGCCGCCCTGAGTCCTTGGGAGAAGGGCGGCATATAAATCGAATAAACCTAAATCTAAACCTATCAATCAGTATAGGTACAGTTGTTTCCACAGCTAGTATTACTTCCCATTATCTGGAAACTAAACTGAAGGTGGTTGCTGTTAGGGCTACACAATTGTTAAAAAAACAAATAGTCCCAATCCGGAATATGTCTCTGTCCCCAGCGTACTGGCAAAACCACTTGGCCCCAGAATTTGCAAATCTGTTCACACCATTAGGGAAACAGATTCCACACCCAGGCCCTCAGGGCTCAGTTTAATTAAGAGTTTTGTGCAGCTCATGGACCAGATATTCACCCTTGTGAAAGGGGTAACACCCCCCTCCTCCCCTGCCCGCTACTGAATGGAGTGAAAATGCCTTTTAGCTCTCTCGGGAGGTTCACATCTATCAGATAAGTGGCTGTGGGGTAAGGTTCGGGCATCAAGTATGGGCACTGGGCACAGACTTCCCAGAACCCCTGTGCAAGTTTCTCAGGATGCTTACCACTTCATAAGGAAACCCTTCATTTTAACAAGTCTTAGCCAGCCCTCTCCCCCCCCACCCCAATGTGTGGAACCACAGTGCATCCAGGGGCTTCAAAGATTCAAGGTAAAGAATTTTAGAAATCCCTGCCTTTGGACACAACCCCAGACAAGGGATTGCTCTGGACCTCCAAGCGAAGACACTGCTGCAGTAGGTCTGCCTCACCGCTACTGGCACAGCTGGTTCTCTTATATTAGATTGCAATGCCCATCTGTCTCGCTTGCGGAATCAGCACAAGCCCCAATACGAACCCCGTGCCGCGCTACTGTGACAGAATATATCCCACTCCACGTAGCCACACAAGAATTTGAAGAATCGCTTCTCTTGCACACATCAGCCTTGGAGGCCTCGCCGAGCATCTCTGTCATCAGGACCAATGGAAATGGTGAACAAGCCAGGAGGAGGGCGAGGCTGGTGGGAGGCAGCACCCTACACCCCACATCTGCAGCACCACTTGCAGGAGGCACCTGGGCACTTTCCCTCTTCCCAGAAGTCAGGCAGAGACTTTTTCATTCTCTCCTGCCCTGCAAAGCTCCCCACTTCAATCCTTGGACTGTACGTTAGCTCAGTGTTTTTCAACCTTGGCAACTTGAAGATGTCTGGACTTCAACTCCCAGAATTCCCCAGCCAGCGAATGCTGGCTGGGGAATTCTGGGAGTTG